ACATTATATATACCCCATTATATATACCACATTATATATAATGTGGTATAACTACATGGACATTCTTTCATACCCTGATTCTGCCTTGTTACTAGTGCTGCTGTGCACTAACAGCTACCATGCTGAACACCAGAGGTAGTTGCAGTGATCCCTATTTCTGTTCATAGATTCATAGACACCAGGGCTGGAAGGGACCTCGGAAGATCACCGAGTCCAGCCCCCTGCCCCAGGGCAGGAAGTTGGTAGAGATCATAAGATCCCAGCAAGATAAACATCCAAATGTCTCTTGAAGGTGATCAGAGTAGGTGCTTGAACCACCTCCAGTGGTAGTCTATTTCAAACCTTGGGGGCTCGGACAGTAAAGAAGTTCTTCCTTATGTCCAGGCTGAAACAGTTATGGAGGAGTTTGTGACCGTTCAACCTTGTCATCCATTGGGGTGCTCTGGTGAACAGATGTTCCCCCAGATCCTGATGAGCACCCCTGATAAACTTATAGGTGGCCACCAGATCACCCCTGAGCCTGCGCTTTTCCAGGCTGAAGAGTCCCATGACTCTCAGCCTCTCATCATAAGGTCTGTTTTCCTGACCTCTGATCATGCACGTGGCTCTCATCTCACTCTCTCAAGCTTCTCCACATCCTTTTTGCATTGTGGAGACTAAAGCTGGACGCAGTACTCCAGCTGAGGCCTCACCAAGGCCAAGTACAACGGGAGAACGACGTCCTGGGATTTGCTTGAGAAGCACCTGTGGTTGCAAGCCAGGGTTTTGCTTGCTTTACCAGCTGCAGCATCACATTGAAGGCTCATGTTCATCTTGTTGTCAGTCATGACCCCCAAGTCCCTTTCATCTGTAGTGCTAACCAGCGTAGCACTGCCAAGCCTATAAACATGCTGCAGATTTTTCCTCCCAAGGTGGAGAACCTTGCATTTTTCAGTGTTAAACACCATCAGGTTCTCATCTGCCCAATTTCTGAGCCTGTCAAGGTGTGCCTGGATCACCCTCCTGTCCTCAGGTGTGGATGCTTTACCCCAGAGTTTGGTGTCGGCGGCGAACTTGGCCAGTCCACTTCTGACACCAATGTCTACATCATTGATGAAGATGTTAAAAAGTAAAGGCCCTAGGACAGAGCCTTGAGGGACCCCACTGGTCACAGAGTACCACGATGATTGACTTCCATCCACCACCATCCTCTGGGTCCTACTGCGGAGCCAGTTCCCCAGCCAGCGGATCATGGTGAGGCTGAGGCCACAGTTTGCCAGTTTTGCCAAGAGGTGATCATGGGATACCAGATCGAAGGCTTTTTTGAAGTCAAGATATATGACATCAATCTCTTCTGCCTTCTCCAGGTGATAGGTCACCTGATTGTAAAAGGAAATGAAATTGGTCAAGCAAGACCTACCCGCAACAAACCTGTGCTGGCTATCCCTCAGGATGTTGCCATCAGCCAGTCTGTTAAGGATGGCTTCTTTGATAATCATTTTGAAGACCTTCCCCAGTATAGAGGTCAGGCTGATGGGCCTGTAGTTTGCTGGATCTACTTTCCTCCCTTTCTTGAAGACAGGCACCACATTGGCCTTCTTCCAATCTTCGGGCTCTTCACCAGAGCACCAGGAGTTCTCAAAGATCCGTGCCAGGGGCTGAGCTATGATGCTCGCCAGCTCCTTGAGTACCCTTGGGTGTAAACCGTCAGGGCCGGCTGACGTGAAGGTATCCAGCCTCTCAAGGTGTTCCTTCATGAGGTCAGCTTTGATGGAGGGTAAGGAATCTCCCTCACCTGGTCCTCCCTGTCCTGTAGTCCGATGTTGCCCTTGCTTTTCCTCTGGCTCCCCACATATCTAAAAAATGACTTTTTATTGTCCTTGATATTTGTAGCTAGCTGGAGTTCCATCGCAGCCTTGGCTTTCCTGGTTTTCTCTCTGCAGGTCCAAACCAGTGCAGAGTACTCCTCCTTTGTGGTGGATCCAGTCCTCCATCCTTTGTAGGTCTTTCTTTTAAGATGCAGGAGGTCCGCTAGTTCCCTAGAGAACCAAGGGGGCTGCTGTGCCCTTTTGCTGCCTTTCCTCTGAGATGGAATGGCATTAGCTTGTGCATCAAGGATCGCTCCCTTGAGGAGCAATTTCTCTTCCTGAACTCCCCTCCCCTTTGGGTCATGGTCCCTTAGGGCCTCACCGACAAGCCTCCTGAGCTTGTCAAAGTTAGCTTTCCTGAAGTCAAGGACTTTTGTATTGCTGACTGTCTTGCCAGCTTTACGGCAGATGGTGAAGGTGATCAGCTTGTGGTCGCTGTCACCCAGCTTCCCATCGATTGTTAGGTCGCCGATTAGGTCATCCCCGGTTGCCAGTACCTGGTCGAGCAGCGCTTTACCTATTGTTGGCCTGTAGACCTTTTGTGTCAGATAGAAGTCATCCACACATGAGAGCAAGCATTGCGACCACTCGGATTTAGCTGAGCACTCTTCCCACAAGATGTTTGGGTAGTTGAAGTCTCCCATGACAACCATGGACCTGGAGCATGCGGCTTCAGCCAATTCCCTGGCGAACTCCTGGCCAAGCTCTTGACTTTGGGTGGGAGGTCTGTAGTAGACTCCCACCATCGTGTCCCCTGTGCCATGTTCCCCACGGATTTTAACCCAGAGGGTCTCCAGCCATCCACCCTGGTCACCAATGTCAGCTAGAAGGGACGCGTAGCTCTCCTTGACATAGAGAGCTATGCCCCCGCCCTTTTTGTCTACTCAATCTCTCCTGTACAGGGTATAGCTGTTTATACCCGTGGTCCAGTCATGGGTGGAGTCCCACCAGGTCTCTGTTATCCCTATGATGTTGTAATTATTTGTGTTAAGCAGGAGGACAAGTTCTTCCTGTTTATTCACCAAGCTCCTGGCATTTGTGTACAGGCAAGCAAGTGTCCCCTTGGGGGCCCTTGCCTTGCCTACCAGTTGTTCCAGGACTGGGGCAGGGGTGGGCTCCCTTAAGTGCCTTGGCCTGCTGGCTTTGCAAGGGTTGCTCAGTGGGCCAGCAGTGGCAGTAGTCCCCCTGTCCCTTGGTGTGCTTAGTTTAAAGCCCAGTGGAGCAGGTCAGCCAGTCTGGCTGAAAAGAGCCTGCTTCCCAGTGGAGAGAGGTGGAGGCCATCTCTTTCCAGCAGCCTTTCTCACCAAAGAGTGGACTGTGGTCATGGAAGCCAAAGCCTTCCCTATGATACCACTGCCGCAGTCTTCAGTTAACTACCTGGATCCTCCTCTTCCTCCTCAGCCTGTAGCCCGAGACTAGGAGGGTCGAAGAAAACAGCACACCTGTGCCCCCAGACCCTTTAGCCCTGCTCCCAAATCCCTGTAGCGTCTCATGTTCCGGCTGGAAGTGCTCTGAGCCATGTCATTGGTGCCCACATGGATGAGGAGCATAGGGTAGTGGTCAGTGGGCTGGAGGAGCTTAGGGATCTTCTCCGCAATGTCTCGGATGTGGGCTCCTGGGAAGCAACAGATTTCCTGGACTAAGGGGTCAGGGCGGCAGATTACACCCTCAGTTTCCCTCAGGATGGAGTCTCCCACGACAGACACTTTGCGTTTTGTTTTGAGGAGAGCGGGGGCGGTAGCTACAGGAGTGCCCGTGTTGTCTGCGGGAGCTGGCAACTCAGCAGGCTCTGCTGGGGCTGCAAGAGGTTCGTACTTATTGCATAGCTCCAGCGGTGGGGGGGCCTTGATGCGGCAGGCCTTGGGGTCCTTGACCACCTTGGTCCAACCCTTAGGCTGGACAGTAAGGGAGGTCCCCGAGTCCTCCCTTGTCCTGGAGGGAGACTGTGGTCTACCCTCCATCTCTCGGGGGAGAAGGGCCTGGCAGTAGGAATCAATCTCCTGCTCATAGTCCCTGATGGCACACAGTCTCTGGACTGCGGCCTGGAGCTCCTTCAGCTGGTGCGCCAGGGACCCCAGTAGGGAGCAGACCTCACAAGGGCAGGTGGCCATGCTCCTGGGCCCCAGAGTCTGAAAAAACTACAGGCAGCCCCCGCATTTTCTTTGGAAGGCACTGTATTATTTGCCTTTTATTTTTCATTTCTAATGTACATGGTTTCTTTTAAAGTTTTTAAGAAATTCTCACAGAAAATCTTTATTTAATGGAAATCAAGGTTCCTATGTTCTTATTTCATATACCAGAAAGCACAAATACACAGCTGTGGTCAACAGCAACTTTTTCTCTACCTAGTATAAAATATATCTAACTTACCTAGTACTATCCTCTTACTCCAACACATTATCAAATCTAGTGGCAGTCTACAAACTAGTCAAGGGGGACCAGCAGGCATTGGGAGAGTCCCTGTTCCCCCGAGCAATCCCGGGAGTTACAAGAAACAACAGACACAAGGTAGCGGAGGGTAGTTTCAGGCTAGACATTAGGAAGCCCTATTTCACTGTCAGGGTGGCTAGGACCTGGAACTAACTTCCAAAAGAAGTGGTGCTGGCTCCTACCCTGGGGGTCTTTAAAAGGAGGCTGGACGAACATCTGGCTGGGGTCGTTTGACCCCATTACTCTTTCCTGCCACGGCAGGGGGTCGGACTAGATGATCTCCTCAGGTCCCTTCCGACCCTACCATCTATGAAACTATTAACACCCGGGGTTTTGAAACTTCTGTGAAGTCTTAACTTTGCTATATATGCAAGAAGCATGTGAGTGTTAAAAGTAAATGTCCTTTTAAGGAATGTTTTTGGTTTTGGATTCTTACAAAAAGGATAATTTAGCATGTGTCACTTGCATAAACTATATTCTGACGTATTCAAGAAAACAGAAGTATGGTTGTTGCTCGATTTTCAGCATTTCAGGAGTGTTATAAGTAGATAAGAGCAGCATTTACCAACAGTAAGCACTGCTTTTTTTTTCCTTGTAGGCTTGACACTAAATTTCTTCCACTTCTGGGTTCAAGTATGGCCATTAACATTATCTTGTCATGATACTGGTGGTGTGTAGGCATAATGGAGGAGAATGGTATGTAACTACTTGTGTATCTTGCAGGGTCTGTTCATTATGTGAATGAGAAAGGAAAGACAAGCCGTGCATTGACCACAGACAGTCCAGTCCAAAAGCTTCTTTTTATGGAGAAGAGGGATGTTTTAGCGGTAATAACAGAGAACCTCTTGCTGTCCGTGTACACAGTCAAGCAGGATGGAGAAGCAGAGGAGGTCATGAAGGTTGGTGAGGTTGGCTAACTTGGCTGCAGGATCAAGGTCACATCCTGCTGAAGTGTAACATTTCATTTTTATAGATATATTACTCAACTTTTACAGTCGTCATGTTTCTGTTTTGTCACGTGTATTACGTCTCACCTCATCTCAGACCCACCCCTCCATTTCTTTACCTCCTTCCCCTCCCACACACACACACTTTAGGGGAACACAATAGAATTTGGATTTTTCTTATAGGAATGGTTCACAACCTGCTTAATTCACAGCAGCATTGGTGACACATAAGGGGTGCACAGGCACCCCCTGAAATTGGCTGTGCACCCCTTGGAAACACCAGCTGTGAAACTGGAAGTGCTGGCAGAAGTGCAAGTGCACTTCTGGTTTTGCCACTGCTGATTTTGGGCTTGGCAATTCTTCCCCACCGGGTCGGTGATCTGGTGCCTCCCCAGACTCAGGAGGCACCAGTTGCCCATGCATAGCAGGTTGCTGAATTAACAAGCTGCTTAGCTGATTGTTACAGCTTTTACTTCAGAGGCTGTCACTTCTCCCCTCAGCAGGAGCACAGCTGTGGTCCCAGACAGCTGATCAGAAAGCTGTACAATTTGAAATAAAAACCACAGCAATCAGCTGGATCACCTCAGTCATCTCACACATCTGTTTGGTACACCTCTGTATACTCTGGCTGGTTTGCAAACCTTCATCTTGGCAGGAGGCTCAGCACCAAACCCTGAAAAGAATCCAGATTCTACTGTTCATGTTCCTTGCAAGGCAGAGCCAAGAATTGTAGGAATGAATTCAGAAGAGTGTTTTTTCCTATTTCTCTCTTTCCTGACTGGTTTCTTCATTCTTACCATTTTTTCTTTATTTTTGTTTACACCTTAATTTGTTCACCTAATTGTACCTATTTATTTTCTCCTATTCGTCCCCTCCCCTCTGTTAGGTGACATGTGGGTGCATATACTTTGACACTGCACAGCCAAAAAGGATTTTAAAAACCTTGTTTCACTGCTGTGATGTCAAAGGGATGAATAATGACTTTGAACCCTCCTCTTATACTCATTTTTAATAACAGTTGGATAATCATCCAACTGGGGAAGAAAAGAAAGCAGTGATATGCTTTAAAATATATCCACGAGCCTAGCATAGCTAGATGCTTCTATTAAAGACCTGCAAAGAAGTAGTAAATAGTGTTGATAGTTGTATTGTCATAATTAGTTTCCAGAATTGTCATCCCGTTCAGAGTAATGGAGGAACTGCTTTGAAAACTTAGGAAGACCATTGGTTCTGTTTTTGCTTTCAGGAAGTAGTCTTTACAACCACAGTAGCTAAACATTAAAAGACAAAACAAAACAACAGTATGCATTTCTGTCAAAACAAATTGAGCTGCCTAAAGAGCTGCATGGGGACCTACTGCAGAGTGGCTGTTTGCTAACTTCTCCATTTAATGATTACATGTTAAATAAAGTGGCTTTGTAACTGTGTTGAACATGTGCATGTCTAGAGGGAGAGGCAAGGATTTTTATGGGTGATACCTTTATTTGACTAACTGTATGACTGGGATAAATTCAGACAAGCGTTTGAATCTAGTGCATTCTTCTGGCATTCTCTATTTAAATCACTTCATTTTGAGTAATGATGCTCTTGAAAACTTTCACTCCTCCTTATCTGCAGATACCTGAATTTTCCTTGGATTTGAATCATATTCCATATATGAATTTTATTTCTTGTGCAAGTATCTAGCTGTGGATGCTTCTTAAACAAAGCTGTAAGATTCATCTCTCTGCCCATGTATTCCCAGTTGATTAAGTGCTGGTTTCCAAAAGTGAGATTTTTGGAAACAAGCATCAGGATATCTTTTTCCCTCTGGTCTTCCTAAGTACTTGAATTCCCCCTTTATGTTTTGCAAAGCACTCAGAAACTGCAGTCATGGATGCCAGATACAATAAAAACAAAACTCTCATGCCTTGCCCCTCTTGGCTTGCTTGCTGCTCTTTTTTCTTCCTCTGCTCTTACTCCATTTTTTCCTTGAATGTATCCTTTAAGCATTAACAAGCCTCTGAACAATAAATAAAAGGGGGAGAGGCATGGATATGAAAGAGAAGGAAACAGGGAATAGGCTAAGCAGAATTGAAGGGTTTTAAAGTTGATTTTTTTTAGAAACCAGAATGGCTTTTGTGCACTTTTTGCTACTTTTATGGCTTTGTCTTCACCAGTATTTTGCTTCAATCCCATTTATTGGTGTAGCTGTACAACTATAACAACTCTGCGTCCTTCAGAGTAGACAGGCAGACACTGGCACTTACCTTGCTTTAAAACATAGGCTGCTATTTTTAATGGTGAATTTTTCCTTCTTCGAATTGGGGTAAGCTACATCAATTCAAATAGCAGCTTTGCCAGACTATTTCAAGGGGTGGAACCTGTGCAGGTACAGTAGTAGCTGGACTCAGGGTAAAATCTCAGTGTCTCTAAAGCCTTCAATAGTGAAGATGGCATAGTCCAGATAGCATAAAATATAGGCCCATGTTATCAAACTCTGGCAACTGCTTGAGCTCTTTGGTCACATGTACCCATTCCCCCATCTTTCTATTTGATTAGCTATTACAATAGAACCCAGCCAGCTCATGATCCCATTGAAGTAGATCTTGGGTAGGCTTATCCTAAGAGAAAGCTCTTTAAAGGAGATCAGATGGGGACTGTACACCCTTTAGAGTTTGTATATCATATCCATTGAAGATACTAACAGAAACAATAATAATTATGTATATAAAAGTCCTGAAAACTTCATGCTTTCAAACTCTCTTCTGCTTGATTTTTCCATTATAAACTATAAAGTTTAGTCCATACCATTCCTCCTAAGAGTCTGCAGGAGTCCTATTATAGTCTTATGTTCTAATGCTTGTAAATGAACTGGGAGGATTAACATAAGCAAATCCAAGAATATGAAACACAGTGAATTGAAAGGCAGAGGTGTTTTTAGTTAAATTATTTTTAATTCTATTTTTTAGTGTCTTATCAGTTTTAAAAGGTTGGGAGGAAATCCATCTTTGTTAAATATTAAGCAACCCAAGCTTGAATTCAAGACTATAAAAACTCATATTTCAGTTGTCTGAGAAAAACAGTGGAAGGGAGGCTTGGTAGTCCTGTTATTTCTAAAATAAATCACAAAAAAGAACTAGCACAAGGGCACAAACCTATATTTCCCCTTTGCAGGCCATCTTTAGTATATATTATTAATACAATTTGTTTTCTATATTACAACATTACGTTTGCAGCAGTTATCAGAGAATTATTATGGTTCAATTGTTGACTATAAGTCAAACAGGACTCTTGGAAATGTCCACCAGTGTGCTATTAATCTACTTAAAAATATAAAATGCTTTGTGGGGAACAACTCAGAACTTGATATCTGGGGATTCTTGGTTGTAAATGACTGTATATGCAGAATGCTTTTAACATATATTTAGGGTTACCATATTTCCAGGTCCAAAAAAGAAGACACCTGTCACTTGGAGGGGAGGGGGGGATATGCTGGTGCCCTCTGTTGCCCCTCACTGTCATGCTACAGCCTCCCCCAGTTCCGCTGCTGCCCCTCACTTCAAACCCACTGACCCCAGCCCTGTAAGTTAAGCTCACTCTCAAACGGCAGTGCCCCTCACTCTCAACCCACAACCACCCCATCCCTGCTGGTGCCCCTCACTCCCGATCGGCAGCCCCCTGGCTCTGCCAGTGCCCTGTACTCCCAACCCACAGTCCCCATCCCCACCCTGGTGCCCCTCACTCTTGACTCACCAGCCCTTCCGGAGGAGCCCCTGCTGCCCCCATCCAGACCGAGCCGGAGCGCGGTGGCTCTGATTCATGCAGGTGGTGGTGGATTGTGTCTGACCCCGGTGTGGGCTGGAGGGAAGAAGATGGGAGGCTTCTGGCTCCCCCAACTCTGGCCCCTGCCCCTGGCTTTTCCCTCCCCACCACCCACAGTGTCTCTTGACCGCTCAGCCCCTACGAGTGCAGGCACTGGCCCCCATGCTACCAGTCCAGCCACAGAGTTCCCCGCTGCCCTCAAAGGTTCCCCTCCCTTTCCCCTGCTGGAGGGGCAGGCAACTCCCGCCCCACCTGTCCCATCCCAGCCCCAGCCCCCATCCCCTTGCCCTGACTGAATGCCTGGGATTTTGTTTTACTCTGGGTGAGAGAGCAGGGGGAGGGCAGTCACAGGCAGCAGGGAGTACCACATGGATCTACTGTGCACCTCAGCAGCTGCAGGCAGGTATGTCTGTGCTCCCTGTTGCCTTGGATCCCCCTCCCCCTGCTCCCACCCCCAAAGCATAGCAAAATCCCAGACAATTGGTAAGATTTAAAAAAAAAAAAAAACACCCAGAGGGAGATCGGAGGGCTTAAAAAGAGGACATGTCTGGGAAAACCTGGATGTATGGTAACCCTATTGCTGTACCAGCTTGCAAGCTTGTTGATACACTGGGAAAGTGTGTTGTTTGGAAAACAGCTCTGGCTTTTATGTCCTGCATCACTGCCCTAGTCATGACAATATTCCCCTAAAATTAATAAGGTTTTTTACAGTGGGTTGAGTCATTGACTTCTTAAAAGTCCTAAAGTATTTTGGAATAGGAGTTAAACCTCATTCTTTAGGTTTTCTGAAAACATCTAATGTAGGGAACAGATTATCTTACATCTACTTAATGCAATGCTTTTTACTAATTTTCAGAGATATGATGCTAGGTTAGATGATCTAGGTGGGCCTAGTTCAGTATAGTAATTATTTGTTTCTGCTTTACAGCTGACTTAACCAGCACTGACACTTGCTGTCTTTTGTTAACAGGTAAAGTTGAGTGGGAAGGTGGGTCATTCTGCAGATATCATAGTAATTGAACGCAGCCTTCTTGTTACAGCAATAGGGGAGACGGTCCTCAGGTAAGACAGGCTTTGAATACTATTAAGACCCAAGAGAATTGTGAGCTGGCAGTCCAGTTCAGCAGTGACTAAAGAATTGATTTCCTTTATGGTGTCTTTGCTTTCAAATTATTGTAAAATAAAACATTACTATTTTCTGTTTGAATCTAATTATTAGAACTTCAAGATGAGAAAAAATTAATTGAATCCTAACTTATGAAGATGTTTAGGGATCCTGTATGTTTTCCTTTCTATCATAGCATCTGGTACCATTTGACTTATTTCTATTCCAAGTGCAAGCTTTTCATTGCCTTTGTTTACTTCTTTCCATGAAAAGTAGACTCCTCTGACTTTGTGCAGGAAAAGGAGAGCTACTTTGTCCTTTCTATTCTTGTTAGCTAATTTTTTTCTAGCAGCTGTAGTATCAACAAGGGAAGAAAGGACTCTTCTGCTCTCTTGTCAGGAATTCTCTAGGAGGCTAAGACTACTGGAATACTGCAAAGCTTACACACCTCATTCCCTGGCCTTGAAATAAGTGTGATGCTTTGCCTTACTGTAATTTTGGTATGTTCTCTAGGGTTGTTTAATCAATTTACACTTAGAAATATGCCCTTCATTTGAACTTCTAACTTTTTGAGTGGCTCCCTTTACTTCTGTATTACCTCTTCACTGAAATGAATGCAACATCAGTGTGGGTATGCATTTTCAGCTGCACTTTTCCAGAACAATAACTTACTGATATGATCAATCAGTTTCCTGGTTAACACTAAGAGAGTGCTGGTAATGGCTAAGCATCATTTGCTTAATGATGGAGACTGTTACGTATAGCATTAGTGTTTTGTTCCAGACAATTCTACTGCAATCCAAAGGACCATTTAAAAATATGGTGAATCTTGAGATGGCAAGTAAAGTTTATTTGTAAATTTTTTTCTTACAAGATGTCACAACATGCTCCAAAGAATAAAATGTTAGAAGATGGAAAGGGTTGCATATTCCATAGACAGCTTCTCATTGTTTCATTGTAAAAATGTAAAGATCTGAGTGTTCTTGCAATAAAACAACTGTTGCCCTTCACTGTATCCCATTGACTCTCTTCCATGAGACATTTAGAAGGGAAAGAATTGTTAAAAGCCTTTTCTTTTCTGTGTAATTAGGTTCTGGGATTTGGAGCGGAGTGAGAACTATGTGCTTTCTCCAGATATGAAGCTTGGCTTTGAGGCAGGAGAATGTGTAAACTGTGTTTCTTACTGCAGTGCTAAAGGTGAGCTGTCCCATTGGAACTGATCTTTAGCTCCTAAAACTAAATTTTAGTTAAATTTAGAATTATAACAGAGACCTTTACCCACCTAAAGCCATGCCATACTTTTTACATGCTTTCCTCATGAGAGGTTCAGGGCTGGAGGGTTGGTTTTTAGTCAAGACTGAGAAGCATTGGTTGAATTACTTGCTGAAAAGATGCATAGTGCCTGTCTTAGTGCTTTGAGTGTATTAATGAGTGTGAATCAGATAGTTGGATTAAAAACACAACCAACATTTTACCACTGCTTACCTCGTGCAATGCATATGTTTGTTTTCTGAACCCAATTAAAAATGCATAACAACTTTGTTAATGACAGGTCTCCTAGCAGCTGGTACCAACAAAGGCAGAATAGCTATATGGAGAAAAGCATCAGTGTCTGGTCAGAGCCCATGGGCATTGGAGGGCAAGGACAGATGGAGGCTTCAAACCCCTACAGAGCTTGGGGGGAATATTAGTCAGATAAAGGTAAGACAAAAAAAGAGCTTCTTGTCATCTTTGACATTCTTAGCAGTCAGAAGAAGGAAATAGGTACATTCTTCCAAAGCTACATTTGCCTCTTTCCTCTAGTTCTAAGTATTAGAATTAGAAAGAGAAGAGTCACAGATATACTGGGTACGTCTACACTAGATGCTTCGAGCACAGTAGACTAATTCTACTGAGCATTAGCATGGCGGACAAAACCTGTGCTGATGTACAGTAGACTAATTCTACTATGCATTAGAGTCACCATAAAAGCATGCACTGTGGCTAATATGCAATAGTGCTGATTACAGCTCATTAAGATGGTACCTGTAATTACAGGTACTAAACTTAATGCATGATAATTACAGTACATTAATGAATGTGTAGATGTGCCCACTGACTTCTGAAATATAAAGCTTTTTGTTTCTGTAGTATTTTCCATCTGAGGGTCTTTCAGCATTGTAAAAACAAAAAATAACTGCCACTGCCTAGTGAAGTAGGTGTATACTAACCCAATGATAAAGACTTATAAAGTAGCACAAAGAGTAAGTGACGTTTCAAATATTAAACAATAAATCCTTGATGGAGTTTGGAGTAAAATCTGAGAATCTTGATGCTCAGTTCTGCCATTTGACCAGAAAACCATCCCTTTTCTTCAAAAAAGACACTTGGTATTAGGAGGAAAATATCTGAAAATGTTTGAAATTTTTCATGCTGGAATGCTGTCTTAATTCTAAAACAATTATTGGGGCATAAACCTGGATATATATTTTTAAATAGTTTTGTTAAGTCCTTGTATATAAGAGTACCCTCTTCAGGCTTAATTTAATCCACAATGGACTAAGAGTGCCCACATAGGTGCTTCCACTGGAATAACTCTTCTGGATTAGCTGTTTTGATAAATTTCACAGTGCAGGTAGGTTCTTGAATGAAATATTTTGCAAGCTTGTAGTATTGAGATGAACTCCCTCTTAATGGCTCTTCTCCTCCTGCATTTGGCAGGGTCGGTATGGTCAGTAACATAACACTGCATTTAGACTTGCATCATCTAGTAAAGAGGAAACTTGTTTGCTAGTGAGACCTAACAGTCATCATTGTTCTCAGACCCAACCAGCCTGTCCTTTTTGTGTCTCAATTATAAGAAAATTCTTTAAATCCAGCATCCTGGTCTGGCTTTCTGGAAAGGAAATCAGTAAGCAGGAAATACTGATTTAAGTAATTTATTTTAAACTTGGTTTATATTTCTACTTTTTTGTTATTTTACTAAAGAGTTGTTTGCTCTCGTTGATTGGTTTAATCACTAAATCATTAAAAATACATATTTTTGTGTACCTTGCTTTCTGGCCAATGAAATGAGAGAACTTTTGCTTTCCTTTCAGATGTTTATTTCTTGGCTTTGACTTTTCAAAGCTATAATTGTAATATTAATATATAGTGTTAATTCTGTTGCTGTTTTTAAAGTGTGAGGAACAATCCCTTCTGTCCTCCTCTTTGGTATGGGGGAGATCAATCATGAACATATCCATCTCTTTGTAAGGGGCTGGAATTTTAAAGCTTTTTTTTATTCTTCCTTCATAGTGGAATAGAGAATGTATAATATAAATAAAGGTAAAACAGATAAATAGCAATAACATTTACTTACTCCAAGTAAGACTCAGATCAGTGGGCAAATCACAGCTATGATCTCGATGTCAGAACTTAAGTCTGGGAAATCTCATGGAAGTCAAGGACCCAAATCTTTTGTTAAGACACTATTGCAACAGAAATTTCAGGATATAGGAAACAGTCTGTGGCATTAGCATGTCAGACATCTACTATAAGTTGAGGGAAGGGAAGAGATGATATAGATGTTTATATCAGCTCTACCATTCAGATGCTTTCCAGATAACAGGATATGGAGCATTGTACAGAAATAGCGTTTTTGTTCCCAACATTTGATAGCATAAGCAAAAGCATTGCCAAACTACCATCAACAATCACAGCATTTCCATTACAATTTACAAAGGCAATCTTACCAGTAGAAATTTTAGTTTTCTGTATTAGTCCCTCTCTTGTTTGGTGAAAACATTTTGTAAGTGCTTTTTGAATTTCTGTGTTTGGAATCATTGGATAATCCCTTTTAAAAGGTTTTCACCCATGTTTGTATGAAAAACCCAGATGAGACAGAAAGCCATAACAATACGTTGAGGCCAGAGAGCAACATTGGTTGAAGCTGGCTCTTTTCTAGGGTAATCTTTTAAAATTTGTTACAGCTTAGCACACTGGCTTCTTAAACTGCATTTCCCACTTGTCTCTCTCATCTCATTTTATCCTTATGTAGAATAATATGGTAGTTGTGAAGCATGAGCTAGAGCTGTTGATAAGATAAAATAAAACCCTTTAAATTTAGCCTTATTTTCTGGACCACAATCTTGGTTACAATAATATTACTATTATATACAGCTATTTAAATAAATGATATTAGAATGTTATTGTCTGATGATTGTCCGGCTGATTCATCTCTGGGATTCGCCACTGGATGTGTAGACTGTGCAACCAGCCACGCAATGGTAAGTGATAGGTGCTAGTCAACAAACCTGTCTTCTTTTGGGAAGCTTCAATGGCTCCGGCCAGAGGAGCACCTAAGGTTGGGGTAGTGGAACCCCAGGGGTGAAGGAAATATCCCCAGAAAAGTGGATGAGCCAGAATCCTGTTGACCAACAGTACACAGACTACTGGGACCACACCCATCCAGAAGAGGTGCAGTTGCAGATGCAATAAGGCAGGCGCTTCCTTCAACTCAGAGTGGTGTTCCAGCTGGGAGCTGCAGCGGCCTGTACCAATTGTCTTGACTTTCTTCTTACTATCGGTGTTCTATAGTCCCTGCCAAGAGAGAAGGCGGAGGGCCCATGGCAACCCCTTCCTTCTTTGTTCTTGTGCCTGCCTCTGCTCCACTAGGCGTTCTTGAGCCGCTTTTGCCAGGGCAGTTGACCGGGTTTTCCCCGGGCCTGCAAGAGGACCCCAGAGGGTGCCTCGGATGATGTCGGAAGACCCCCTAAACTCGCCTGCCATGACTTTGAATGGATCCTTAGTGGAGGGGGTCCCCTTTGAAGCAGCCTCCAGGGTCGTCACGCCTTCAGCGGGCACTCACGGGGCTCTGACTTCCCCTACACCCCGGCCAAATGCCACCTTCTGCAGCGGGTCCCCCGGTCTTCTTTTCTTACTGGCTCCTCCTCGTCTCTTCCCTTGGACTTCCCATAGTCCCAGCTCAGCAGGACCTGGTGGCCTAGGCTGGGCTCCGGTATGAGGGCTAAGAGGCCCTTGATACTGGCAGACCCTATCCTATTCCGACACCCGCAGTGCCACCACGTGTAAAAACGAAACCCTACCACCATGCCTGCTGGGGAGGTGTAACCACCGGGCATGAAGGCCCCGAGGAAAGTAGCAAGCCCTAGCCCAAGGAGCCCTGCAACTTCCCAGTGCCTCAGAGCCCCCTAGGTGGCTCCCATCTGGGGATGTTGCTGCAGCCCCCTGAGGTCCTGTAGCCCCGGCCAGCTCCTCCAGCAGCTCCTTCGTCAGTTTCTCCACCAGTACCTCTGTCAGCTCCTTTGCCGGTTCCTTCACCGGCTTCTCTCTCCGCTCTC